ATTTATATCTCTAAATGCTTACATCTTTAAAGAGAGAAGAGCAGATCAGTGAATTTGGCATGCAATTAAAAAAACTAGAAAAAAGAAGAAATTAAAAATCTCCAATTAAACATTGGAAATCCTGGAAATCAAAGGAGAGATTAATAAAATTGAAAAACAACCACTGGACTATTAAATAAAAGTAGGAGCTGGTTTTATGGGAAACAAAAACAATTAAATAGATAAACCACTGGTTAATTTGATTTTTTAACAAAAGAAAGAAGAAAATCAAATTACCATAATGAAAAATGAAAAGAGTGAATTCACCACCAATGAAGAGTAAATTAAAGCAATTATTAGGAACTATTGTGCCCAATTATATGCCAATAAATCTGATAATCTAAGCAAAATCAATGAATATTTACAAAAATATAAACTGTCTAGATTGACAGAGAGGAAATAGAAGACTTAAATAATCCAGTCTTAGAAAAAGAAATTGAATAAGCCATCAATGAACTCCCTAAGAAAAAATCCCCAGGGCCAGATGGATTCACAAGTGAATTAATTCTACCAAACATTTAAAAAACAATTAATTCCAACACTATATAAACTATTTGGAAAAATAGGCAAAGGAGTCCTACAAAATTCATTTTATAATATATAGTGCTGATACCTAAACCAGGAAGAGCCAAAACAGAGAAAAAAATCAAAGACCAATTTCTCTAATGAATATTGATGCAATAATTTTAAATAAAATACTAGCAAGAAGATTACAGCAACACATCACAAGGATCGTACACTACGACCAGGTAAGATTTATACCAGTGAGTGGGATTTAAGACCACTTACTCAAATAAAAACTCAGAGGTTTCTCCAGGTAGAAAACAGAAGTTTTATTCTAGCAAGTCTCCTGGGAGAGTTGGGCATCACCTACCCAGGGTGGACTGGAGTAGTGAGACCCAGCACAAACAGCAGCAAGCAGTTATATAGTCTTAGCAAAACACTCCAAAAAGCCCCTCTGGCCACTTGTTTGTCTCAATCTCTTTATCCTCATTGGCTGAGGCAAGAGACCTCACAGTCCGTATTTAGAACCCAAGAGATACATTTTACTCAAAACGGCTTGGGAGCTAGAAGATTGCCTCATTTGGTAAAGTTAAGGTACAAAACAAAAGAGGGGGTGGTTACAAAACAAGGGAGGGGGTGGACAGCTGGTGCACAGCCCCCATTCCCCAAAAATGAAAATGAAAACTTAGGCCCAGCTCATGCTGAAGCGTCACTACATTTTGGAGCATAGCTTACATTTCACATGAGAAACTTTCACTTGTCCCACACACCAGGAATGCAGGGCTAGTTCAATATTAGGAAAACTAGCAGCATAATTAACCATATCAATAACAAACCAACAAAAATCATATGATTATCTTGATAAATATAAAAAAAGCTTTTGACAAAACATAACATCTATTCCTACTAAAATCACTGGAAAGCATAGTATGAATAGATGGAGCTTCCTTAAAATATCAGAGGCCTTTCCCAATGAGACCAGGGGTGAGCAAGGATGCCCACCGTCACCACTATTATTCAATACTGTACCAGAAATGCTTGCTATAGCAATAAGAAAAGAAAAAGAAATCGAGGGAATTAGAATAGACAATGAGGAAACAAAACTACCACTCCTTGCAAATATTATGATGGTATAGTTAGAGAATCCTAATCAACTAAAAAACTAGTTGAAATAATTAACAATTTTAGCCAAGTTGCAGGATATATAACAAACCCACATAAATTGCCAACATTTCTATATATTACCAACAAAATCCACCAACAAGAGATAGAAAGAGCAATTACATTTAAAATATCTGTAGACAATATAAAATACTTAGGAGTCTACCTTCCAAGACAAACCCAGGAACTATATGAACACAATTACAAAACACTTTTCACACAAATAAAGTCAGATTTAATTAATTGCTCATTGGTAGACACAGCTAATATAACAAAAATAACAATTCCACCTAAATTAATTTACTTATTCTGTGCCATATCAATTAAACTATCAAAAATTATTTTATAGAGCTTGAAAAAATAATAAAATTCACCTGGAAGAACAAAAAGTCAAGAATATCATGGGAATTAATGAAAAAAAAAGTGAAGAAAGGTGGCCTAAACTTACCAGATCTCAAACTATATTATAAAGCAGTAATAATCAAAAAAATCTAGCACTGGCTAAGAAATACAGTGATGGATCAGTGGAATAGATTAGGTACACAATACACAGTAGTAAATAACCACAATAACCTAGTGTCTGATAAACCCAAAGATCCAAGCTTTTGTGACAAAAACCACTGGGAAAACTGGAAAACAGTTTGGCAGAAACTCAGTATAGACCAACATATCACACAGTATACCAAGGTAAGGTAAAAATGGGTACAGTATTTAGACATAAAAGGTGATACCATAGGCACATTAGAGGAGCATGGAATGGCTTAACTTAATTCAGATCTATGGATAAGGGAAGAATTTATGACCAAACCAGAGACAGAGAGCATTACAAGATGTAAAACGGATAATTTTCATTATATCCAATTTATAAACTTTTTCACAAACAAAACCAATGCAGCCAAGATTAGAAGGAAAGCAGAAAGCTAGGGAAACATTTTGACAGCAAATATCTCTGATAAAGGCCTTATTTCTCAAATATATAATGAGCTAAGTCAGATTTATAAAAATACAAGTCATTCTTAAATTGATAAAAAGTCAAAGGATATGAATAGGCAGTTTTCAGATGAAGAAATCAAAGCTATCTATAATCATATGAAAAACGCCCTAAATAACTATTGATTAGAGAAATGCAAACTGAAAGACTCTGAAGAACCACCTCACACCTATCACATTGGCTAATATGACAGAAAAGGAAAATGATAAATGTTTGAGGGAATGTGGGAAAATTGAGACACTAATACACTATTGACAGAATTCTGAACTAATCTAACCATTTCAGAGAGCAATCTGGAACAATACCCAAAGCACTATAAAACTGTGCATATTCAGCAATACCACTACTAGTTCTGTATCCCAAAGAAAAAATTTTTAAAAGGGAAATGGATGTAGTATATGAATATAATGGAATACTATTGTTTCATAAGAAATGAGGAGGAGGAGGAGGACTTCAGAAAAACCTTAAAAGATTTACATGAACTGATGCTGAGTGAAGTGAGCAGAACCAGGAGAACGTTATACACAATATCAGCAACACTGTGCGATGATCAACTTTGATAGACTTAGCTCTTTTCAGCAATGCAAGGATCTAAGACAATTCCAAAAGACTCATGATGGAAAATGCTATCCACATACAGAGAAAGAACTATGGATTCTGAATACAGATCAAAACACACTATTTTCTCTCTCTTTTTTTTGTTTCTTCTTTTTCGTGGTTTTTCCCTTTGGTTCTAACTCTTTTTTACAACATGACTTACATGGAAATATGTTTAAAAAAAGGAAAAGGACCCTATTTGTACAAAAATATTTTGGCAGCTCTTTTTGTGGTGGCAAAGAATTGGAAATTGAGGGTATGTCCATCAATTGGGGAATGGCTGAACAAGATATGATATATGATTATGATGGAATACTATTGTGATACAAGAAATGATGAGCAGGATGATGTCAAAAAACCTGGAAAGACTTACATGGGGACAGCTAGGTGGTGCAGTGGATAGAGCTCTGGCCTTGGAGTCAGGAGGACCTGAGTTCAAATCCAGCCTCAGACACTTGACACTTATTGGCTGTGTGACCCTGGGCAAGTCACTTAACCCCAACTGCCTCACCAAAAAGCAAAAACAAAAAACAAAAATAAAACAAAAAAAAAGACTTTCATGAATTGACCCAGAATGAAGTAAGCAGAACCAGAACATTGTACACAGTAACAGCAATTATTGTACAATGATCAACTGTGAATGACTTAGCTACTCTCAGCTATTATCCAAGTCAATTCCAAAGGATTCATGATGAAAAATGCTATCTACCTCCATAGAAAAACTGATGGAGTCTAATGCATATTGAAACATACTATTTTTCACTTTATTTTTTTCGTGGGTTTTCTCTTTTTGGTCTGTTTTTTCTTTCACAACAAAACTAATATGGAAATCTGTCTTACATGACTGCACATGTAAAACCTAAATCAAACTGCTTACTGTCTCAGGGAGTGGTGAGGGGAGGGAGAGAATTTGAAACTCAAAATTAAAAAAAAATGTTAAAAACTTTTTACATGCACGTGGGAAAAAATAAAATATTATATCTACATCTACATACACACACACACACATACACACATCTCTCTCTCTCATTTGTATGCAGTTGTTTGTGTTGTCTCCCTCATTAGACCAGGAACAGGGAGTGTTTTTTCTGTTTAGTATAGTGCCTGAACATGGTAGACACTTAATAAATGCTTATATCTTGTTGAAAAAAAAAAAGAAAATGAAATGAAAGAAGAGGATAGAAGAGGAACAGAATGAGTGATATAAAGAATTTAGTTAAAATGCTAGTTTTCATAAACCAGAAAGAAAAGCCCTGAGTGAACTAAATTCTGAATCACCTAAGCCCAGAATTTAGCCTGAGTGCTGGCAAGTCACCTTGGTCAAGACATAAAGTAGTTAGATTAGATCACATTTGGGGTAAGAGTAAGACCCTGGCTATAAAATAAAAGTGAATATTTAAATGAGTGAAAAAAATCCACTTACATACAGTTTTTATTATTGCCAAAATAAATTGTTGTTTTCTCCTATTAGTATAAGCTGAATAATATAAGAAGGCAAACAGCATATACATATGCCAAACTTTAGTAGGCAGACAATGTAAACACAAGGGCATACTTTTTTTCAACCACCTAAATAAAGGACATAAAAATGTTGCTCCAATTTAGAAAAAAGTTTGCTATAACATCCTAATTATTGAAGTTAATGTGTATCATTGCTGGGTATGAAACAATTACTAAATATCCAAAAATCTAACAATTTCACACTTACACTGTGACACTTTTTCTAATGGGCTTCTCATCCAAATCTTCATCTGAGCTGCTGTCAGTTGCATCAGAGTCTAAGCCCTCTTCAACATGAGACAACAACCCTGCAGTCGATAGTGCAAACTTCTGAATTTCTGCAATGGTGCACCTTGCAAAACCATTTTTTGTATCTTTCCACAAATCATTCTCTGAATTAGATATGCAGACTTCTGGTTTAATTTCAGTGCATCTGTGGAAACTATTATCTAGAATTCTGGCAGGTTCATGAAAGATCTTCATTCTTTGGGACTGATGCTTCATAGAGAATTTCATCTGCTGACCACAGTGTTTAACAACATGCTTTGCCAGTAGCATCTGCAAATGTTTCTGAGTTCTTTTGGCCTGGCTAAGGAGAATTTTTTGTGTGCTTACACAATGAAGTAAACGAGCATTCACTTCTTCTTCTTTCTCAGTGGCAGGGGAACTAATAAGTACATTTGTGTGCCCAGGCCAAACTTTCTTTTGAGCACACTGCAAAAGACTCTTTTTACTCTCAGCACCAGAAGCTTTATCCAAAACACCATTTTTCTGGTACCATTTACAGTTTGGAAGCTTTATGTTTTCTACACTACTGACTTTGGTTACATCGGAATCCAAAACACCTGGCAAATCAGCCATACACTGGCTTGTGGTCTCTGATAAAGGTTCCTTTTTGATGCAGTCTTCAGAGTTAGGAGGACAAATTCTACTGAGCCTAATGCTGGTGCCATTCTTCAGCACATTTTTTAGCTTATCGCAATTAGGGTCCCCTAATTTCTTTTGTTTATAATTTTCACTATACATGTTTAATGAAGAATTAGAACTCATTAAAAAGACTGTTTGATAATGTTTTGAAGGCTGAGGAGAGCCAAAGTGTTTTAAATTCACAAAATTAGTATTAAGGCTAGGTTCAGGAGTTGGAAACCCCAGCACTGAGCAATTAATCTGTGCGATAGAGTCTCCCTTTAGTTTTTCTTCAACAGTTCCTGGATTTTCCATACAAAGCACTGTGTCAGATGCCATGGTTCTAGACAAAGAAGATGACAAGTGGATACCACGTCCCTTCATTCCAGCCTCTCTCAAAGCTGGGGTCATGGCGACTCCTATGGGTAATTGTAGGAAACCTGGAAATAAAATATGAAAATGAATAATCAAATATTTACACACTTAAACATCATTTTTTCACTAGCTCATAACTTTTCCAGATACAGCAGTACACATTTCTGATTTAAAAGAACAAAATGGAACTCCTTCCCCTTCTAATTCTCCTGCACCCTCGGCTTTTTCTATGTTAATGGCACTTTAAATAGCTCACAAGGGTGGCAATAAGGACAAAAAGTACCATTCCTTCCATAAGACTGAGGCCTTAAACTCCAGATAAAGTTTCAAAGCACCTAGACATTACACACATAGCAGGTACTCAAGAAATATCTAAGTGAATGAATTAATAAATGCCTGAAAGTTAATGTCAAGACTTTTGTATTTAGACAAACTTGTATAAGATACAAAGGAAAAATTTTCTACCTATGAATCTAGGCCCTCACTTTGGACATGATCTGTAATCACACAGTTTCAATAAAGGCTAGAATTAAATACTGTAAAACACACACACACATATGTGTGTGTGTGTGTGTGTGTGTATACACACATACATATATATATATATAAGTGTTTTATTCCTACATTTATCAGTATAATATTCACTTTTAAAACTTATTTTAATCACCTGTACCAACATCTAAAATTCAAACTATTCTATTACAATAGCTATCTGCACTAAACACAAGAGGACTATAAAAATATTCATAACTTAGAAACTATGAACCAATATATTTTAACCTTTAGAAGAAACTCTCCCATTCCATACAGTGTACATACTTTTCTAAACCATATTTAAACAAGAATTTCCTCTACCACATAACCAACAAATGGTCATCTAGCCTTCAACGTTTTCAAATGAAGCAAAACAGACTAACTACTGAGATAGTATCCAGCCTATTTCACTTTTAGACTGCTCTCATTGTTAGGAAGGTTTACATTATATCAAGCTTAAATTTGCCTCTGCAATTTCTACCTATTTGTCCTAGTTCTGCTCTCTGTTGCCAAGAAGAACAATCCATTCACATGATAACCTTTCTAAAAATTAAATGGAGTTGCTACATTCCCCCTTAAGTCTTTCCTTAATATCTCTTAAAAATCCCCAGTTTGTTCAACTGATCCTGACTTGGCAAAAGCTGGAAGCTTTTCATCATTCATGTTGTCTTCCTCTAAATACATTTTCCTTCTCAGAAAGAGTTACTTAAAATCATAAAATATTAGATCTGGAAGGTGCCTAGGTGATTATCTAATCCAACACTTCCATTTTATAGATAAAGAAACTGAAAAACTAGTTGGTTAGTGGCAAACTCGACTAAGAATTTGGGTTTCCTAACTCCTACTCCAGTGAATGCTTTTCACTAATCCACACTGCCTCCATAAGATAGACATAAACACATATTTTAACAGAGTAATGCATCATTATGGTATGAGCTATTACGCTGTGCTCTAGAGGAATTGCTAGACACTGGCATTTTAGAGATGCAAATATCTATGTAGCTTCTTGCCTAATTACTCATTAGAGTACAGGAACACAATAAATATTAATACTTAAGCATATAAACAAGCAAAGGATTATCACCAAAAAAAACTGTTCTGACTTGTAAAGAAGTACAGCTTTAAAAAAAAATTGTCCAGTTACAGCCCCAAACAAAAGAGAAACAAATATTGTGTCATGTATCCAAGAAAACATGTGTAATGATTGAGGGTCCCTACAATGGGTCCCTGCAAATATGAAGGTCTCAAACGATCCAAGATTAAACCTCCACACTGTCTCCTCTGGGACTACTCCAATTCCTACTAGCACTGGTGGTTGGGTTCCCAGTGGGAGTGTTGACTATTACTTCTCTCACCATATTTCAGAAGCATAGCCCATCCATATGCACACCCTGGCATTCTAACCCCTCCTGTACTATCTCCCAAAATCAAAACCACTAATACCTTTAAAGGTGTGCATGTATACACACATATTTGTTTGTATATATGTATATATAATTAACATGATCATCATATATTACTTAAAGGCATATATTATATATAAAGGTATATAATATATGTGTGTATAGGGTTTTACTGAATCTAGGATTTTATAATTCCTCTACATTTAGGCTTTAAAGTAGCAATAAATAAGAGAAAGGTTTAGATTTTGAGTACATATATTCTAAGGCATCAGTTGCCATAGAAAATATTGAGAAAGATTCCTCATGCCCTGGAACATCTGAGTTGCTTTTATTTTCTTATACTTTTAGCATATAAAATAGAGCTAAGAAAAATCTATTTTAAAATGCACATAATCTTATTGTTAAGTAGTGTTAAAATATTCTGACAATGGGTACCTTACAATATATGTGTGTGTATGTATATATCTATATGATCAAAACAAAATCCTCTTATCTATTAATACTCTAAATCATCAATGTAGGGGGATTATAAAATCCTAGATGTGGTAACTCCATTTTATTATATTTTATATCCAAAAATATTCAAGTCCAAATAACCAGTCTTCTAAACATTATAGCTTCTAACTCACGACAGAAAATGCTACCCACATCCAGAGAAAGAAATATGGAGTCTGAATGCAGATCAAAGCATACTATTCTCACTTTTTTTTTCTTTCTCGTGGGTTTTTTCTTTTGTTCTTATTCTTCTTTTACAACATGACTAATGTGGAAATGCTTAATATGATTGTACATGTATAATCTATATCAGATTGCTTCCCGTCTTGGGGGGGAGGGGAGGGAAAAACTTTAGAACTCAATCTTATACATGTGAATGCTAAAAACTATCTTTACATGTAATTGGAAAAATAAAATACTATTAAATGCAAAAAAATTAAAGATGCAAAATGGCAAAAAAAAATCTAGTTTCTACATTAAATAAGAAATAAATGCAGGTTAATAAAATCAGCAGATATTTATTTTTTAAAAGCAACTTCTACCATATGGAAAACTTCTCCAAATCACAAATTCAAAAATTACTAATTTAAACAATTCTAAGTTTCCACCTCATGCAGTAAAGATGACAAAAAAAAAATTATAATCATTGAAGGGGGTGTGAAAGAATGGGTAAACAAATGCACTGTTGATGGACATATGATTTGGTCCAACCATTCTGGAAAGCAATGTGGAACTATACCCCAAAAGACAACAAACTGTGAAAACCATTTGATCCAGCAATACCACTAGCAGGTATGGGCCCCAAAGGGACCAAAGAGGGAAAGGGCCCATATACACAAAAATATTTATAGCAATTCTTTTTGTTGTATCAAAGGCTTGGAAAGAGGCTGCTCATCAACTGAAGATATGTGGTTGCACATAAAATCTGATTTTTCTGGGTTTTTTGTAGATGAGGATGCTCACGCTTATTTGTCAAGTTAAGAATGACCAAAAAACCAACCAATTTCCAAGGTAAGACAAACAAGAAAAGAAGTTCTTTCTTATTTCCTATACATTCTACATCCAGAACAAGTGGTATAATAATGATAACCATAATGTATAAAGTTCCCAAACTGGGAAAAACAAGAAAGGCTTCATGTAAGAGGTAGCAGTTGGGTTGAATTTTGAATAGATAGGATTCCAATAGGCAGAGGTAAAGAGGCAGGGCATTTTAGGCACAGCCAACTTATGCAAAGGCATAAATGTGTAACACAATGTCTTTAATACAGTGTCATTACTGGGAACAACAAATAAGCCTGATCAGTGAGAAACACGTAAACATAGTTCTATAGTGTCATGTTTTCCAGATTTCTTTATAGAACAATTTGGAAAGTCTCAAAACTTACAGCAGTTTGCTTCAGTAATTCGCATGTCCAGGATATAAGCTCAGTTCTTTAAAAGTTTGTAAGTAAGAGTTAATTAGTGAGAAATTTTATATCGAAGAAATTCTTCTGCTTTAAAAAAAATACCTAAAAAAGGAATTCTCTTTGAAACCAAAGGAATTCAATTAAAGATAAAAACAGCTTGGGTGGTCACATAAGACATCAAACAAATCATACTTCAAGTAGAGCTCATTATTTTTCAGTTATCAGTGCATGACTCAAAAATATGACTGAAGGATCAAGTTACCTACTTGATCACCAATGATGGTATGTAAACCTAGATATGGCAAGTTTACATCTTAAAGTACATTGCCATTAGTTCAGCAACATACTTGAATCTCAAATTAATTTCATGTGCCAGAATATGCAGCGTATAGCATCTAAAAATATTACATGTAGGACTCACAGATATGTCTAATAACCACTCAAGAATTAGGGGAGGAGAGCATAGGATTAGGCACAAACGGACCATTAGAATAAACAGGTAATCAGAGTTAATAATAGGTTTTTAAAAGCAGGAGGATTCAAAATTCTCCCCATAACACAATATTTAATAATATTTAACATTTACAAAGTAATATCTAACATCACATAATATCTAACAGCTTCGAGGTTTTCAAGCCACTCTACATATGTTATCATATTTGATCCTCATAATAACCCAGCAAGATAGGTGCTATTTTTATTGATAAGGAAATTGAGACTGAAAGATTAAAAGATTTGCAAAGAGTTACACAGCTAGTTGGGTCTGAGACAGGATTTGAAATCAGATTTTCCTGACTCCAGGTATGACATTCTATCTAATTTACTACCTAGCTTCCCAATTTAAAAAAAGTTCATATCCATTTGCAGGTAAGAAGAAATGCTAGAACACTAAGTAAAATGAAAATAGTTAAGATACTAAAAGTAATTTATTAGTTTAGTGTAAATTTTGAAGTTCACATCACCAAATAGCATTTTATTCACTTCAACATGGTACACTAATACCATGTTTATCTCAGGTGAGTGAGATAAGGTGCTCCATATAAATTAATTTTCCAATTAGCTGAAGCTTTCCCCTCCAAATAACAAATCTTTTTTATAGTTAACCATTTTTATGGAGAATTCATAAAGCATATTCCATGTTTACCTACCATCTTCAACAGAGTATACTTAATAAAATTAAAACGTTTCTTAAACATACAAGAGATATCATGGAGGGAAAAAAAACCA